TCTCCGACTCAGTGCCAGTGGCATCTCCCTCGCTTGTCCGCAGGGACTTCGTCGGGACTGGTGCTGGTGTTTGACATCCCCAGCAAGGGAACAAACATCACGCTGAACGAGGTGCTGCAGGAGCATCACGACTCCATCACTGACATTGCCTCGGAGGTCGGTGAGAACCCGGTAAGGAGCCCCCGGCACTGCGCACAGCTCCTTTCCCAGCCTTACAGCCGGGTTGCCAAATGCCAGAGCAGCCAGTAGGGCCCCTCCTTCCTTTGGAACTGGAAACCAGTCTGTCAGCCCTTCCTCTTTCCCATGTGCTTCCCAGTGCAGGAGACTCAGAGCTGAGGCCCCACCTGCGCTGCCCGGACACTAACGATGCCAGAGTCCTTCCTGGGAGAGCCCAGACCAAAACCTTTCGTGCCGAGGCTTTCCAGCGGCCAGGGTGGTCCTTACTGTACACCAGAGGTCAATAGAGACGCCTCACCCCCACCCAGACCCAGCCACCGCAAAGACAGGGCTCACTGACCCCTCCCAGGCCTGGTACAGTCCCTGCAGGATGGGTACAGTCGGTGGCTCAAACCCTACTCTCTCTTCTCCTATGCCTCTAGCCCATGTGGAGCAGAGGCCCTTCACCACAGCTGTCCTTCCTTGCCAGTCTCCTGCCACAGCCTTAGCTTTTTATCAATTCTGCTTCTGTTATCCTTGGGCTACCTCGTTGCCTTTTGCCCTCGGGGCTCCAGTTCAGTGCCTCTCTTGTTACATTGTGCAGGTCTTTGCTCCATGAGTGTCCGAGCCAACTCCATTTTTGTTCCATAGTTTCCTGTCCTTTTCGTTTTTGTTTCGTCCTCCTCCAGAGTTCTTTGTTCGTGATTTTTTTCTGGCTATCTGATATAGAGGGTTTGTCTAAGGCAACTGAGAACTTGGAGTTTAGCTAGTAAGGTCTTAATAAGTCTCCAGGTTTCAGTGCTATATTTACAATGATGTTAAATATTCAAAGTTTAGATTGGAGGCAAGATTTCTATTTCTCCAGATCGGCCTTAGAGATACAAAGGCCCATCTGGCTCTTGCCATTCTGGCTGTAATGTCTTTGTCTGCTCCACCTGTTTTACTTACAGTGCTGCCAAGATACAGGAAATATCAGACCTCTTCCATGTCAGCCCCAGAAAGTGGTATTGGTGTTTCTTGTGTGTTGATTCTCATAGTTTGAGTTTTCTCAGTGTTGATTTTCAACCCTCCTAATTGTGCATAGGCCTAGAGATTACTGGTTTTAGCTTGCACGTCTCTATGGGTGCGGGATAGCAAGTTGATTTCATCTGCAAGATCAAGGTCCTCTAACTTCTGTGTGAAAGTCCATTGTCTCCCCCTTGGTTGTTCTGTGGTCTCTCATTACCCAATCCACTACCAGTAAAAAGATCACAGGAGACACAAAGCATCCTTGTCTGATGCCCGTAGTAACCTTGAATGGTTTAGTCAGTTCACTCTCATGTATTGCCTGGCAGGTGATGTTTTCGTAGACGCTCTGAATGATGTTCACAAATTTCAGAGGCTTTCCATAGTGGCGTAGCAGCTTCCATAAACCTGTCTTACCCGCTGTACCAACGGCATTTTGGAAATCCCCACAATTCATATGAAGTGGTTCTCTTCTGGCTCAGTCACCACAAATGCCACAAGGACTCCTTGTTCTTTTTGCTGATACAGACTAGCACGGCTACCACACTGAACATAGCAACTGACCAGCTCAAGACAATGAGGACAGCTTAACAATAAAGAACTTGGAACAATTAAATCGATGGAGGCAGCACCTTAGTCAGCTACTTTGCCTAAGCCCAGTGAAATAGAAATTAATGGAGATATCTTATCTCCTAGAACTGGAAGGGACCTTGAAAGGTCATCAAGTCCAGCCCCCTGCCTTCACTAGCAGGACCAAGTACTGATTTTGCCCCAGATCCCTAAGTGCCCCCCTCAAGGACTGAACTCACAACCCTGGGTTTAGCAGGCCAATGCTCAAACCACTGAGCTCTCCCTCCCCCGTGCCAGAACCATCGCTTGGCCAGCTGTGGGCTATGAAAGCCTCCCTGGACTCAAGGCCATTTATTAGCGGGGTCAGACTGTATCCACTCCCTTAGTATCAGGGGGTAGCCGTGTTAGTCTGTATCCACAAAAACAACAAGGAGTCCAGTGGCACTTTAAAGACTAACAGATTTATTTGGGCACAAGCTTTCGTGGGTAAAAACCTCACTTCTTCAGATGCGTGGAGTGAAAGTTCCAGATGCACTCCCTTAGTGTCTCTGCCTGACCACCCTTACCCAGAGCTCCCCGCATCCTTGCCCCGCCTCCCACGTTCCCACTGGGGCCGTTGTTCATCCAGAGGCGGGGGCCAGTAAAACCCTTTGGGATGAAAGCGCAAGAGACAGGTCAAATCCAGTCACCTGGCACGTGGGGGTCCCTATGCTGCATAACACATTCTCACACTCCTAAAGCCCAGACCCTGCCCACTGGAACCAAAGGAGAGTCTCCATCCGCTGTTCACAGGACGGGGGAGGTGCCACACAGCTAACAGTTCTCAGCCCGCCCACTAGAGGCCAGTGACGTGCACCAGCTCATTAGTTATTCGGAGAAGGATGGGTCAGTGTCAGTTTCCTGGGAGCTCATTGGCTGAGGGGAGTAGATTATAAAGCAACTTTCCTGCACTTCTGCGAAAGAGCGCTTTGGTGACTGGCTACTCTGTAGTATCCTTACTGATTGCTGACTTCCCCGTGCCCCGATTGGCTGAGAGGGGTCCCATGGCATGGCACTGACTGTTGCTCCTCCCATTGCAGGATGGGGCTGCTGACCTGGTGACTGCAGATGACTCTGGGGCCCTGTGTGTCTGGAGATCCAAGGAGGAGTTCTCCCTGCTCACCAAAATCTCTGCCTTTGGGTAAGGGAGGGTGGGGGGCTCCCACAGCTCCTTGGGGCAGTGAGATGAGCCCAGAGACCTCCCCCTGGGCCTTGCTAGAGGGGGCCCCAGGCGAGGGGGGAGGACACTCTGATGCAGTGTGGACAGTGTGTTGGGGGAAGGGGGAAGCCCATAACTCTCCCGCCCCGGTGGCGCCAGTGGGGCTGACATGTCTCCTTTGTGCCCAGGTGGACCTGCTCCTCGGTGAAGCTGTGGAACGGGGTCATTGCTGCTGGCTATGGGAATGGGCAGATCCGGCTGTACGAGGCCACGAGCGGGGCCCTGCGTGCCACGGTCAGCGCCCACGCTCGCTGGATCTACGCCCTGGACCTGGCCCCCCTGACGGGGAAGGTAAACCTGTCCAAGGCCTCCCGGACACAGCTTGGCTGAGCTCCTCAGTTGCCTGCCTCAATCCTTCGCTGAGGCTGGGAAGAGCTGCAACTCCCACGCTAGCCAGGAGGGGGCGCACACATACCATTGCATTCTGCCCCCCTCTGCCCCAGGCGGTGCTGCTGTCCTGCCCAGGGAGAGAGGCCCGAGCCCCAGAGCCAGTGTGCCAAGGAGTAGAACTGCCTCAGTCACCGCATGCAGCAGGCTTCGGCAGCATCTGGTGGCACCGGTGCTGAGAGGCTCTGCTGGCTGCAGTGAGCACTGGGCCCGAGCTCAGAGGCTGGCAGAGCCCCCCCGCCACCCCAGGAGCCTGCAGCCCCCTCACGCCTCTGTTCTGCCTCCCACTGCAGCTGCTGTCGGGTGCCGAGGATTCCTATGTCCAGATCTGGAAACTCAGCCGGAGCCCAGACACCGGCGACATCGAGGTGAGGGGCCAGTGCTGTGATGGCCACACGCCCCGGCAGAGAACCATGGGGCCTAATGGTCTGAGCATGGGGCTGGGAGCCAGGAGCTCCTCAGTTCCAGTCCTGGCTCTGCCACTGACTCTCAGTGCAGCCGTCAGCCCGTCACTGCTCCTTTGTGCCTCAGTTTCCCCCCCCCCGTGACATTCCACCACTACCACAAGGGGCTGTGAGGCTGAGCTGGGGACTAGGTGCTCTAGTTGCACAACAAGGCCCCAGAGGGCCCTGGGGCAAGAATAGGTGAGGGGCCTGAGCCCTCTTCCTGATTCTAAAAGCCACTCCCCTCCACCTCCCCCACAGCCCCAGTCCAGCTCACCGCTGCCCCTGCCTATTTCCCTCAATCCATGCACCCCTCTAGGGCCTTTTAGCTCCCCTCCTGCCTCCCACTGCCCTGATCCACCCCCCTAGCCCTGGTTCAGAGCTCCCCACACGGTCTCCTCCAGTTCTGCACCAACCCCTGCCCACTCCCCCATCCTCCTAGCTCTGATCCAACCCCCACAAGCTGCCCTGCAATCCCCATCCCCCACCCTCAATAGCTCCACCCTCCCCCAACCCTTCCAAATTCCCCACACTTCCATGCCGCACGCAAAACAGCCAATGGTTTTACCTTGCCCTCTGTCTTGGGGAGGCTGTCTGACCCCCCTCTAGACTCCCCCACTCCCCTGCATGTCCCCCAACACTACAATTCCCCACACCTCTGCATGTCTTTGCCAGTTGCTGGTGCCAGAGGGGCCCCCATATCCCAGCCACCCTCCTGCCCCAGGGGGCCAGCTTTTCCTACTCTCCCGGCAGCCCCTCAGTCGGGCCCTGGCGTGACCACACCCCTTGCACTATTCCGGTTACTCCACTGAGGTGCTCAGAGACTCAGACTTCCTCTTCCCTCCACAGGCCCTGCCCTGCTACCCCCACCCCACAGCCTGCGCCTCTGTCAGCTCTCCTGAGCTGCTCTGTCTGCCCCACATCCTCCCCACTGAAATCCCTCTGAGCTGGCTGGCTGGCAGCCTGGGGAGGGCATGCTGTGCCTCCATTTCCCTCAGCGCTGCCCCAAGCCTGGGGCTGGTGTTACAGCGAGGGAGGGGCTGGATGCTGGGGAGGGGAGAGACCCCGAGCCTGGTTCTTGTATCCCTGTGACATTCCAGCCCCCAACGTTCAGATGAAACACTGTGTCCCCTTGCTGCAGCCTGCAGGGGGCGCCTGCACTCGAGTCCATGCCCGTGGGGGATTCCCGGGGAGGCTGCTGCGGGGAAACCTGTCTAGCCCTGGGGCCCGGCTGGGCTGCGTAGTCCAAGCGCGCTCTCTCCTGCCCCCTGCAGATCGAGCACTGCCACTCGGAGTGCGTGACTGACACCCAGCTCTGTGGCGCCCGCTTCTGTGACCCTGAGGGAAACTCCTTCGCTGCGACCGGCTACGACCTCAGCGAGATCGTGCGCTATGGCCAGGTCTAGGCTGCCCGGCTGCAGGGGGGCTGTGAGCACAGGGCGGGGAGGTACCCGCAGGCACTGTGTGCTGCACCATGTTCCAGCCCCCCTGCAGCTGCCTCAGGGACTCTGTGCAGACCCCTGGCTCCCGTTGCACAGGGGCTGGGGCCGCTGCATGCAGCTGAGGATGCCCCCCACCTGGGTGGAGATCAGACACGGGGGAGAGTAGGGGCAGACAGGTGGGGGCCCAGATCTCTTCAAACTTCAGAGTCCCTCTGGCCAGACGCCTGCCCACACCCCATGGCTGCTCATCTCCCCCCTCTCCTGCCTCCATGATCTTTCTTCCCTGTGGGCAGGCAGCTGCCGTGTCCTGCCTGCCACAGCTCTGTCGTGCTGGGCCCCTGGCCCAAGGCCCCTGCAGGCTGTGATTCCCCTCTGCTCCTGTATGGAGACCAGAGCCTGGAGAGGTGCAGAGCCGGGCCCCCGGGCAGGCCCTGAGTTGGGGGGTAGGGACAGTAGCTGAGGAGGTGCAGAGCCGGGCCCCCGGGCAGGCCCTGAGTTGGGGGGTAGGGACAGTAGCTGAGGAGGTGCAGAGCCGGGCCCCCGGG